GGTTGATTGTAGTGAAGTCCTATTTTCCCACCAATTTGGGTTCAAAATGCACCTAAAAACTCAATTGTGACCTTATCATATTAATCTGCACAATTAATATATAAATTAGTGTAAAATTTAATTAAAATAATGGTCACATAAATATATAAAATATAAAAGCATGTCAAAATACAAACTTATCACTATGATTGAGCGACTAGCTACTATTATGGGTTGACCCTTAGGATAAATTAATTTGTGGGTCAAATACAAGGTTCTTCAATATTTTGGTTACAATTAATTTTATTGTTTAGGGTGCTGAATTGTTGATTTTTGTTCATTATTTTTGTACTTTCATTTAACTCTAACTTTTTGACTACCATGGTTACTTTTTTTTAGATTGAAAAGTTAACTAACTTGGTAAAGATTTAACCACAAGGGACCATGGTTTTAAGTCTCCAATGGTTTTGTCCAATTCCATGGCTCAAAATAAGGTTCTTTGACATGATTTTCCTTAACTTTTGTTTCAAAATTTTTTGAGTTATAAATCATGTACTTAACCTATCGAATAAATAGAATTAGAAATGAATACTCAAAGAATTTATTTAAGAAAAAATTGGGTGTTACACAAGATTTATGTAACAAATACTATCTAGTGAATAAAAAACTTTCTTTTCAAATGGGATAAGGCCCTACCATATTTATAAATAAAGCTTCTATAATTTTTTTTGGTAGTACCTTTTTCATTTAGTCGAAAGAGAAAAGAGTTTGAGTTTATAGATAAAGATGCATCAAACTAGATGAGTCATAGTACATATAATCTTTCAATTGGTCGTTATTCAAATATCAATAATATATTTACTTAATCATTTGGTCTTTTTGTCTTCCACAAAGTGTGCTTAGAAAATAAATGTCATTAACTGTAAATATTAAATATGTCTTTTTTATTAGAAATACTTTGTAGAATATATACACCAAAATCTTGGTTAATGAAAGGATTCTAACCCATTTTCAACTTAATAATTTTATTTAACTTAAATCTAACATATTTTTTTTAGTTCATTTTGTTTATATGTAATTCTCAATATTTTTCAAAGTTTTAGTTTCCTAGTTATAGAATTAAGCAGGTTTAGAGAATATGGTATGCATATATATGGTACAAATTTTTAAAGGACAAAATAAAGAAAATATATTCTTAGAGCCATGTATTGATATAATAAATGTATATTATTTTATATTTGTGAATATATTGTATTTAATCATTTTAATGAGTTGATTTATGATTAATGTTGCTTCCCCATATGCTTTGTTTCATAAATTTTCTTTCACGTGTGTTGTTGTACTAGAAAATTTGAAAGGTTAAATTGTTATTAGGTAAAACTATTAAATTTTTTCTAAATATTTATTTTAATTTGTTATCATAATATTTGGTCTATCAGCTGTTTAAAATTTTAAAGAGTTGAAGAAATAAACAAACCTCTAACAAAATTTTAAAAATAAATCAAAAACCCTATCAAACTTTAGAGAGCAATTAACAAACTATTCTTATAAATCAACTTTAGATAGCAATTAAGTGCACTTTAACAAGTTGTTTAAAGTAAAATTTCTCTTCAAAATCAACTTATGAGATAGGTTGCAACGTCTTATTACTCTCTAAAGTTGACTTTGAAGATGATTATCTCATAAAATCACTCTCAAAAATTAATTTTAAAAAGCAGTTGTCACGTAAAATTCCCCTTTAAAGTGCATTTACAATAGGAATTACATTATTGCTCTCAAAGCCTGTGCTTTTGTATTGCGCCTTTTATAGAAGCTAAATGACGTTTGAATGTGAAAAAAAACGTTTTTTAATCCTATTTATATGATATTTATTAATCTATAGAATATAATAGTGTGAGTGAAGATTTATTTTAAAATTTTAAACATTCCCTCTCTTTCTCTCTCTTAAAATAACAGGTTATTACTATAAGAGTTAAGGTGTAAACTAAAAATACACATACATTGTTTTTCTCGTCTTTTAGATAAACATAAAAAAAAAAAAAAAAAAACTTGAAATTCACCAAAGACTTTTAAATACCTATAAGTCTTTTAATCCTTATTAAATGAGAATCATAAAATTTAAGATTTATAATTTTTTATATTATAAACTTTAAAAAATTACATACACATATATATATATATATATATAGCTCTAAAAGACGCGTTGACATGATAAAAACGAATGTAGGGGACATTCTCCTTCATCTATGCATGATTGTTTTTCCTCCTTGATTACTTGCTATATTTTATTTATTATCATTATTTTTTCCTTTGTCTTTCTTATTCCTTTATACTTAAAATGGTTGTGAGGCTTTGGCTGTTACATAGTGAAAGACCAGCACATAGCCTGTGAAGATTTCCACTTAAAACTGTCGGCATAAAGTGCTGCGAACATTTCAATTTCAAAGGTGCATAAAGTAAAACATGATTGCAATGCCAACAAGGAAAGAAGGCATGACAAAAGTCACTATAAGCCATGATTGACTTTACTCACCAACTAGTTAAGGCACTAAGGTATATAAGTTGGATTTCAATAAATAAACCTATTCTGTTCTTTTCCTTCTGTCTTACAACTGTTTATACGTTGTTGAGTAAAAGAGAAACATGTTAGTACAAATTTCATCTCTATAAAATAGAAGAAATTTGAACACATATTTGCAATTTGGTTTTGTTAACAATAAAAAATCTTACCAAATCATGAACAAATTTTGTGGGAAGTCCTGGTTCCCCATCCTTCTCTTTAGTTAGTCTAACATTAATTTCAGTAGGTGGTATTGTAGAGCGATTTCATTAGGTGGAAAAAACCAAACAAAGGACGTATCCACAAAAGAAACCATCTATGGCTAAAAGAGAAAGGTCTGAAAGAGTTCAATAAACAAAAAGTAATTAACGACCTGAAAGAAGCCTTCGAAGAGATCTCAAGAAATGGACATGGCACCAACGTAATGAACTAATTAAGCATGGTTATGCAACACAATAGTATCTCTTTCTCGATGAATTATTTTAGTTTATTGTTAGTAAGAATTTTTACTAATAATAATCTTCAAAGTGCTTCATAAAAAATTAAAATATTTAATAATTTAAAACATTAAATTATGTTGTATTAATTGTGAAGAGTATTTTTTTTGAAAAAGCAAATTATGAGTTTAAATTGTTTTCTTTTTATTTAGAAGGGATGCGGTAAATCTTGCATACAATCGACCTTATTTGTGCTTATGTTGTCGCGGTTCAGTTCGATATAAAGTGTATTTATAATTTTTCACAAAACTTATATTTTTAAGATATATCGTAAGAAAGTAATTTGATAAGTGTCACAAATATTAATCTTTGATTTTAACTACTATTTTATTTATTTTCTCATACTTTTATTATTTAATATATATATATATATAATATAAATATAATTATTATAAGAGTTAATATCTTTTTATACCGAAAGCCAAACTTAGATATTTATACTATTTATTAAGAAGTATAAATCTTACTTGTAACGGTTACTAACTCTAATGCTATTTAATAATTTAAGCTATGATATAATATAATGAAATATTTTATTATAAAATACAACTTATTATAATTAATTATATTACCCATATTACTATTATCAAAATGAAAAAAATATAAAATATATATCCTCAGTATAATAATTAATCTTTATATATATATATATATATATATATAAACTTCGATCTTCATTTTAAAATTATAAAAAAAATTCTTAATTTAACTTTAATTTTATATATGTACTTTCTTATATGTTTTTCTCTCTTCATTTATAATATGCTCTTTTGAGTATATGATTTAACCACAAGAACGAGATCTTGAGTCATAATAATAATTTATAGTTATTTGAACTGAGCTTTAAATTACATTTAACGATATTTCTTAACACTGTTCTTTTAAAAAAAATTACACTCACGAAAATATAATTTTTTTATATAATTAATTATGGTAGGGTGGGTATTTGAACTTTAAATTTTGATTTGAACTTAAATTTAAGTTATTTTAATTAAATCTATTTAAATTTGTTGTTAATTAAATAAAAAATAAATTAAACTCTACACGTTTATAACACGATTTTTGTGAATCTAAATTAAATTGATTTAACTAAGACTTGCTATATAATCCGTTTTGCCGGCCGGCTGTAAATTATACATAGTCAAATTAAAGTGTTTTTACTGTTATCAACTCTACCTGGCTAACGATACTCGTTCTAGTGTGTATGCTTTTAACAATGATAAACGAACATTAGAAATACACGTTAAATTTATTAAAATTATAAAAAATGAAAATTAAATAAAAAATACGATATATAGTTTTTATAGCTTTTAATAAGTTTTACTTAATAAGTAAAAATATGTTAAAACAGTGTATTACTCACCTTCTACTCAATGGAACGCGGGGTTGTAAATTTCTTTCCAAAAAATGTCTAACGGTCAGAATAGAACAAATCGTCATCCAGCGCACGCTATCCTTTTCTTTCGTTTTACCGTTAAGGAGAATAAGAATAAATATTATTAAAATTATTTCCAAAGTCATAGCTTACTTCCCAGTAAAGTACACAGCAACCTATAAAAAAACTCGAACAAAAGTACACGACAGCCTAACAAACATTTTACTAAAAGAGTTAGTAATGTATTTTTAAAACATTTTCTTATGTATTAATTTGTTATAATATTAAAGATGAAAAAATTAGACATATTTTTAATCTTCATGTTTTAGTGAATTCTTTATTTTAATTTTTTTAAATATTATTTTTTGTAATTTTATCATTTTATAATTTTATATTTTTTATTTCTATCGTTGATTTAATGTATACAGATTTTAAAATATAAAAATAAAAAAATAATTTAAAGGGATTAAGTTTTTTAATAAAAAATAATTACATAACTGATAAAAATTAATAATAAAATATATGTTCAAATGAAATAATTAGAAAGGGCGTCTTTATCAGAAAAATAAAACAAAAAGTCGAAAAGGAAGTGGGGGAACCCCACATGACCTTCCTTCCAAGACATCCAAAGCACATTGCCAGCATCAATGAGTAGCTGGCACTAAAATTGCAATTCCAATTCCAATTCCAATTCCAATCCCAATCCCAATCGCATAGTAGAGTTCAATTGAATTCAATTCAGTTGAAGCTTCCGCTCAAAATCTCTCCCTCATTTTCTTCCCGATCCTTCTTTGGAGTACAACAAAACGATGCCAGAAATGGATGGGAATGGCTCCTCGACCAAACCTCCTCAAATCTCCGAAATGTTTCAGAAATTCGCCCTCGCTTTCAAGACCAAAACCTACGAGTTCTTCTCCGACGAAAACGTTATCCCCATCGACGACTCCGACGGTTTCTCACTCCTCGACTCCACCGAAGAAATCATCCCCGACCAAAAAGTCGTTGTCATCAAACCCGACCCCAACCCAGGGACTCCCTCGCCACCCTCTCCACCCTCTCCACCACACATCACCACCCCGCCAACGTCCCCACCAAAGATCACCGTCCCGCCCCCTCTATCTCCCGAGCCCCAAACGACGCCGCCGTTGACCCAATCTCAAATCAGAGAAACGACCCGCGCTCTGATCTCTTCGATCTTCGCTGCCGTGTCGGCTTTCGAAGCTTCCTACTTCCAATTGCAGAGCGCGCACGTGCCGTTCGTGGAAGAGCACGTGAAGAGCGCGGACAGAGTGTTAGTTTCGCATCTGCAGAGACTCTCTGAATTGAAGAAGTTTTATTGCAACCCCGAGTCAGGTGCTTTCCCATTCGGGTCTTGTTTGGAGGCTCAAGTGGAAGAGAATCAGAGCAAGCTCAGGACCCTCGGCACCGTCTCGAACCGTTTGCAATTGGAGCTGGAGCAGAAGCACGACGAGGTCTTCGCCCTTAGAAGGAAACTCGATGAGATTCACAAGGGTAACGTTAACCTTTCGAGGAAGCTTTGTGCCAGTGCTTTGAACCCTTCCTCTGATGTTTTGTTAACTATTAGGGTGTTCGATTCCTTGTTGCACGATGCTTCTAGAGCGACGCACAAGTTCACCAAGATTCTGATTGGGTTGATGAGGAAATCCGGGTGGGATTTGGGTTTAGCGGCCAATGCAGTTCATCCGAACGTTGATTATGCTAAGAAAGGGCACAATCAGTATGCACTTTTGTCCTATGTTTGTTTGGGAATGTTTCAGGGTTTTGATTCACGGAATTTTGGAGTGGAAGAAGTGGTGTTGAATGGGCACATGCACGAGGACGAGCATGGTTTAGATTTGGAGAAGAGTGGTTTTTTGAAGCAATTGCTTGAGCATGTGTCTAGCAATCCGATGGATTTATTAGGCATTCATCCTGGATGTGAATTTTCAAGGTTTTGCGAGCACAAGTATGAGAGGCTCATCCATCCTTCGATGGAGTCGTCAATTTTTGTTGATTTGGAGGGGAAGGAGGCAGTGTTGAGCTCGTGGAGGTCGTTGAGTATTTTCTATGAGGCGTTTGTTGGAATGGCTAGCACCATATGGACACTGCATAAGTTGTCCTATGCATTTGATCCTGCAGTTGAGATTTTTCAAGTGGAAAGAGGTGTGGAGTTCTCTATGATATACATGGAAGATGTGACGAAGAGATTAACCTGGCCAAACAAGGGTAGGGCGAAGGTCGGATTCACTGTGGTTCCTGGATTTAAAATTGGGAGGACAGTTATTCAATCACTGGTTTATATTAGCAATTTCAGATGTACAGAGTAGTGAAGTCATAGGCACTCAGTTGAGACTGATACTGCAGGATCTAAATTAATCCTCTTGTTGGTTCTGGTGTTGTAATTTGTTCCTCAGTTTGAGTGAAATCCATCAGAGTTATGCCAGAATTTATTCGAGGTGCATGATAATGAACTACTGATTGAGCAAGACGATGCCAATGATGCCATATATGCCTGAAGATGTTTGCTTCTTTCTATGATGCTAAAGTTGGAGCAGCAGTGATCGTTTCAAGTCGATCATTATGTGGTGCCAATGCCAACCAAGTGAGGTGTGAGTGTTTTTGCTGGTACTTTTCTCTTTCTGTTTTTTATTTTTATTCCAGTTTTGCTTTTATGCTTGTTTTAGGTCACCTGTGTAGAGTTAACTGTACAGAATATTCCTCCCATTCTGGGTACTCTAACAACAAATACATCGGTAAATTGTGCATGTATTGTTTTTCCGTTATATATAGCAAGTAACAGTGGTTTTCCCAATAGCAAGTAACAGTGGTTTATTACGTTTTAATCTCTATTGTTTGTAAGAATAGGATCAAATGTACAGAGAAAAGAATAACAACGATTGAGCCTTAATGAATTTCTCTGTTTGGGGAGTGGGATGTCCAAAAGTGGGGAAGAAGATGAATGAGCACAAGAAAGAGCCTCAGGATAGATTTTAATAGCCTGTCTTCTCCCAACCAAGCCCAATTGTTGAACTGAATGCACCCCTCCGCCTTCCTCTCCTTTCTACTTGTTATTAGTCTTTGGCTATGATATATTTTATATTTAGCAATTGCAAATAAAGCTTAGCAAATGTACTAATCGATTTAATAAATATAGTTAAGATCATTCTCACGAGGATTGTGATCTAAATTTAACAACATGCACAAAAAATGAACTTTGCCTAATCGAGAACTTCAAAATATCAAAAGTAATTCTAAAACAAAAGCTGTAATGCAAAACACCAAATTAGAGAAGAAATTCGAGTTTGAAAGAAGAATATAAGCAAACAACAGTTGAGAATCTGAGAGATTTATGCAGAAATGTAATAGAACACACATCAAGTGATATTTATCAGAAAATGAGATTGGTTAGGAGTCGGATTCCTCTAGATTTTCACCTTATGCAGATAATTACTCTTAATCTATATTTCACAACTCAATTGAATGCATTCATTCATCACAAGTAATTATAATCCAATGTCTTTGTAAACTTACTCTAATTCTTAACCACAAGTCCTAATGTCTTAGTTAAATCTGATCAAGAACAACATTAAACAGCAGAATTAACAAGCACACAATTTCTAATTCTTATGTCTAGAAAATCTGAAGATCAAGTCATTTACCTCAGTTCTGACAATTTAACCAATTTTTCAATTGTGAAAAACCTCTTGGATCACTTGAATGGCCAATTCAGTGAAGCTTTAACCATGGAAGTAAACAATTGCAATTAAATCACAAATTCTGAATTAAGATTGAAGAAAACAAATTTACATAAGGTTCAAATCCAGATTACATGCTATCTCAACCTAAGAAACATAGAAATGCAATGCAAAAACACAAAATATTGACCATAAAAGAAATATCTAGAGAGATATCCTTTTTTGAAGCTCGATTTTTGTGTTCATAGTAGATCTCACTTCAATCTCACACAAATTGAAAAAGAGCGAACTAAGCAATCCTACAACTAAGATAAACCAGAAATCTAAAAACTAAGAGAAAATCAGAAATTGAAAAAGAAAAAAAAGCTCAGCAAAAGTAGAAAGATAAAAGATCAAAGATGTCAAATGCTGTAGCACACTGAGCTATTTATAAACTTCTGATAGCTCAATGTGAGGTAACTATAATGCACTCTCCTTATTGGAAGATTCTTGAGTGTTCTCATAATTGTGAGATGTCAGGTCATTGAGAATCAAATGTCCTACCACGCATAGCTTCATTGGCTCTTTTATGTACAGAAAATGAGGACATTGTGCTTTGAGTATCCCAACTTGTGCTGTGTTCTAGGCATAGTTGTCAATTGCAGATAGCAGCGTGTAGCAAACGACTCCCAAAATGCTATAGCAGGATAATTGCTATTTTAAATTTTTTGATATGTATATAATGCTAAAAGAATATGCATAAATAACATATGAATAATTATCCAGAAAAGACATAAAGAGAAGAAAGAAAGTGGATTTTTTTGGGAGAACATAATAGAGGCGGTGCTGTAGAATCATAGAATAGAGAAAAGAAATGACGTGGATTTTTCCAGAGAAGTCATCAAAGATGAGTGACTCCGCTGAATTGGAGATTGTTGCAAAGTAGAACAGAGACAGAGATGAGAGGAGGGAGCGGGAAACAGAGAAGGGGTAAAGATAAGAAGTGGAGAAAAAGTGGGGCTTCATCGTGTGTCTCCAGTTGCAAAAAGGAACTGCAATAGAGATGGAGGATGGGGTGTCAAACAGACTCAACAGAGAAAGGAAGAAGAAAAATGTGGGCAAACATGAGGTTAGGTCGGAAAACTCTGAGAAGGCTATTTTACCCTTAGAAAAACCTCAAGATTGTGTCATCTTAAGGGCAAAAAGGAAAAATCAGTTTATTTCTAAAAGATTAGAAGTCTTTTTTACCCTTAAAAAATTCAAAAATTCTTTCATTTTGGGTTGGGAATACAGCCACGATGGCCATGGCAGCAAAAAGGCTCCTTTAATGAAAGTTTATCAGAGGAAGCGTAAGAATAGGACAGCTGTAGAGGATTTGAGTTGTCAATCATAAATGTATTAGTTATAACTGTATTTTGTTTCATGCTCTATAAATAGTTAGTTACAAAGGGGGGAAGGGATCTTTTGGAGAAATCGGAGATTGGAGGGAGAGGCTGGAACTCTCAAAATTCCAGTAGGAAGGTGTTGTACAATTTCCTATTCTCTTCTCTTGTTCAGAGAAGATCCAATAAAGAAATCTATTCTTTGTTCAGTACCTATCAATCTGGTATCAGAGCTCCATTTAGGAGCTGTGGTATCGGGATTGTTTATGCGCAAAATAACTATCAGAATGGAGTCAAGGATCAAACGATTGGAGCATTGTATGGAGCTGTGGAATCGCAAGCACGAAGTGGATCGAAATCGAGAGGAAGAACGATTCCGACAATTGGAAGCATTGGTAGAATCCTTGGTTTGCCGTTCGGGAGAAGATGCGAGAAATGACGCAGCGCGTCGGGCAGAAGATGACACCCGGTCAGATGCAGCAGTAGGTGGGTAACCTATCGAAGTGAGTGAACGATGGAAGAAGATGAAAATTCCGGTGTATGAAGGAGAAGAAGACGTGTTTGGGTGGGTTAATAAATTGGAACGTTATTTTTGCTTGCAAGGAGCTGAGGATGGGGAGAAACTTCAAGCGGTGATGGTGGCACTTGAAGGTAAAGCTCTAAGTTGGTTTCAATGGTGGGAGTCATGTCATCCACACCAAAACTGGGAAGAGTTCAAAGAAGCTATTATTGGTAGATTTCAGCCGGCCATGGTACATAGTCCTTTTGCGGCTTTATTGGCTTTAAGGCAAGAAGGCACGGTGGAGGACTTTGTTTCTCAATTCGAGAAGTTTGCAGGAATGCTGAGTGGGGTAGGAGAGGAACGTTTGATGGATTTATTTGTCAATGGCTTGAGGGAAGAAATTGGAGCTGAGTTGAAATTGTATGAAGCTTCGAATCTATCAGCAATGATGAAGAAAACATTGATGATTGATCAAAAGAATGCAGCATTGATGAAGAATGGTGTTGGGGCCATAGGGAAGCATGGGAGCAATCATAAACCATTCTCTTTCTCTCGTACGGTGACGGTGGATACAGGACAGAAACAGCGAGTGGGAGGAACACATGCTGAAGTCGTTTCAGCTGCATCTTCTGCTGGTAGTAATGGAAGTGGGTCTGGATTTAGAGGATGGGGTGGTGATTTCAAAAGGTTGTCCAATGAAGAAATGCAGGAGAAAATAAGAACGGGGGAGTGCTTTAGATGTGAAGAAAAGTATGGACCAAATCATATTTGTAAAAATAAACAGTTAAAGGTGATGTTATTGGAGGAAATGGAGGGTATGAATGGGTGTGAGGAGGACAATTCAGAATGCGAGGAGAGAGGGGCAGAATTCAAGCAATTATTGCTAAATAGTATTGCTGGATTTACTTCCAAGAGGTCCCTTAAGGTGTGGACTGAACTTGGTCAGGAGAGGGTGATAGTGTTGATTGATTGTGGGACTACCCATTATTTCATTTCCCATGAATTGGCAAGAAGGGGAAGGTTTTTTGTTAGAATGTCAATTGATTCAGCAACCTGAGGTAGCTATGGCAAAGTTACCTCAAGTATTGACTGCAGTTCTGCAACAATATGCTGAGCTGTTTGAGGTTCCGAAGACATTACCTCTAGCAAGGAAGCATGATCATGCCATACATCTTAAGGAGGGAGCTGCTATTCCCAACATTCGGCCCTATAGGTATTCTCATTACCAAAAAACTGAAATTGAAAAGATGGTCAGTGAGATGCTGGTAGCTAGAATTATTAGATCGAGTGTGAGTCCTTATGCTAGTCCTATTATTTTGGTAAAGAAAAAAGATGGAAGTTGGAGGTTTTGTGTGGACTATAGGGCCCTTAACAAGGTGACTATACCTAACAAATTTCCTATTCCCGTTATTGATGAATTGCTTGATGAATTGGGTAATGCTGAAATTTTTTCAAAACTGGACTTGAGGTCCGGTTATCAAATCAGAATGAGAAGTGAGGATATTGAGAAGACAGCATTTAGAACTTATGAGGGGCACTACGAGTTTGTAGTGATGCCTTTTGGGCTCACTAATGCACCGTCAATCTTTCAATCTTTGATGAATGAAGTGCTGAGACCATTATTAAGGAAATATGTATTGGTATTTTTCGATGATATTTTGATTTACAGCAAAAATCACGATAAGCATGCACAGCATTTGGCTACAGGAATGGATCTTCTACAGCAGAATGATTTAAAGGTGAACAGGAAAAAATGTATTATTCGCCAGTCTACTTTGGAATATTTGGGCAATATTATTTCAGCGGGTACTATGGCTGCTGATCCAAAAAAAATTAGAATCTATGTAGCTTTGGCCTCAGCCTAAAGATGTGAAGAGCTTGCGGAGATTTTTAAGTTTGACAGGATATTATAGACGGTTTGTGCAGCAATATGGTCTCATTGCTAGACCATTGACTCAACTTTTAAAGAAGGATAGTTTCTTGTGGAGTGAGGAAGCTCAAGTTGCTTTTGATAGACTCAAGCACGCCATGACCTTACTGCCCACGTTGGCTGTTCCAAACTTTTCTAAAACTTTTGTTTTAGAAATCGATGCTTCAGGAACGGGTTTGGGTGTGGTTTTGCTTCAAGATGGGAAGCCTCTTGCTTTTTGGAGCATTGCTTTGTTAGACAAAAATCAAAAGAAATCAGTGTACGAGAGGGAGTTGATGGCAGTAGTTAAAGCCGTGCAAAAGTGACGACATTATTTGTTGGGAAGTCATTCATCATATGGACGGACCAAAAAAGTTTGAAATTTCTCACTGATCAACGATTGTGGGCAGAGGAACAATTCCGTTGGATTTCAAAATTGTTTGGATATGATTTTGAAGTGCAGTATAAACCAGGCAAAGATAATACAGCAACTGATGCTATGTCTTTCAATTTCGATTATAAAGATGTCTGATTTTGAGGAGTGGCAAGAGGAGATTCAACAAGATGCTAAGTTGAAAGGTATTATACAGAATTTATTGCTGAACCCAGCCTCTCACGAGGGATATGTTCTGAAAGATCAAAAACTGTTTTATAAAAACAGTTTGGTGTTGCCTAAATCTTCGGCTAAGATTCTCATTATTTTAAAGGAATTTCACTCTTCATTTATTGGAGGACACTGGTAACGTTCAAGCGAATTGCCAATGTGGTTTATTGGGAAGGTATGAAGAGTGATATAAAGGAGTTTGTGGCTGCCTGTGATGTGTGTCAAAGAAATAAATATTCTACTTTGACTCCAACTGGATTGTTACAGCCGTTGCCAATTCCTAGAGTTGTATGGAGAGACATATCTATGGATTTCGTGGGGGGCTGCCAAAATCCAAAGGAAAAGACACTATTTTAGTCGTTGTGGATAGACTGACGAAGTACGCCCATTTCTTACCGCTGAGTCATCCTTACACTGCTGGAGATGTTGCAGCCATTTTTGTGCATGAAATTGTGAGGTTACACGGTTTCCCTAGTTCTATTGTGTCGGATAGGGATATGATTTTTATGAGTAATTTTTGGAGAAGCTTGTTCAAGGCAGTAGGTACCCAGCTGAAGTTCAGTTCCACTTATCATCCACAATCGGATGGTCAAACGAAAGTGGTTAATAGAAGTGTGGAAGTTTACTTGAGGTGTTTAACTGGGACAAGACCCAAAAAGTGGAGTTTGTGTTTGGCTTGGGCTGGATTTTGGTTCAACACAAACACTTCAACACTTTTAAGTAAAATGACTCCCTTTCGGGCTTTATATGGAATTGAACCCCCAACACTTTTAAGGGGTACTATGATTCCTTCTCGAATGGAACAAGTAAATCAGCTGCTGCAAAGCCGTGATGAGTTGTTGGTTGAATTGAGGGGCAATCTTCTTAAAGCCCAAGATGTGATGCGGGTACATGCTAATAAACATAGAAGAAAGGTGGAGTTTCAGGTGATTGGGTGTTTTTGAAACTTCAACCCTATTGTCGAAGGTCTTTGGCTAAAAGAGTGAATGAAAAGTTGAGTCCTCGATTTTATGGACCTTTCAAGGTACTGTGATTCCTTCTCGAATGGAAGAAGTAAATCAGCTGCTGCAAAGCCGTGATAAGTTGTTGGTTGAATTGAGGGGCAATCTTCTTAAAGCCCAAGATGTGATGCAGGTACATGCTAATAAACATAGAAGAAAGGTGGAGTTTCAGGTGATTGGGTGTTTTTGAAACTTCAACCCTATCGTCGAAGGTCTTTGGCTAAAAGAGTGAATGAAAAGTTGAGTCCTCGATTTTATGGACCTTTCAAGGTGCTGTCTAAGATAGGATAAGTGGCATACAAGTTGGAGTTGCCTCCAACTAGCAGGATTCATCCGGTGTTTCATGTTTCATGGTTAAAAAAAATGGTGGGTCCATTAG